TCACTGACAGACACACTCTCCAACCACACATACACGAGCCTATATGGCGTGCTGCAGCGGGCATGATGGGGCGTATTAATCGCAAGACATGTCTGCCCCCCCAGGCACACGACCTCATGCACGTCATTAAGCCAGCCGCCTTTCTGTTTGAGGCGGATGACCCACAAACCACACACAGCGCACAAGGTGCGCTCAAGGTCAAGAGGTCAAGAGAGAGAGAGGGTGTGTGTTGTGTGTGTGTGTGTGTGTGTGTGTGTGTGTGTGTGTGTGTGTGTGTGTGTGTGTGTGTGTGTGTGTGTGTGTGTGTGTGTGTGTGTTAATGATCATGTGTGAACATGTCGCTTCGTCGTTTCCCTCCTTTCTCCACTTTCGCCTTGCCAAGCCTCACCGCCACCCCTTGTCGTCCTGCCGCGTTCAGGCTGTTGAGTCGCTGCTTGCTGTGATCCAGGGTTCCCGGCTCCCGCGCATCCCCCAACTCCGGCGCGACCGAGAACTGCATCTCCGTCTTTGTCAAGATTGCACATGGCCTCTCAGAGGTGTGTGTGTGTGTGTGTGTGTGTGTGTGTGTGTGTGTGTGTGTGTGTGTGTGTGTGTGTGTGTGTGTGTGTGTGTGTGTGTGTGTGCGTTGCGACACTCCTTCTTCGCCGTCCTTTGACATTGGTTGTTTGTTCTTTGTTGTCACGTTGTCGTCGCTTATTCTTTACCTCCTCATCCACCCATCCACCACCAACCCTTGCACAGACGAGATGCTGACACATCTGCTTGACTGGCTGTCTATTACAGAAGACGACGATGAGGCAAAGTACATCTACACATACCTCGTCGAGGTCCTCCAAGCGTGAGTGCTACCGCTGTACTTTGTGTGAGTGAGGGTGTGTGTGTGTGCATGGCCTGGCCGTGCTGCATGTGTCGGTGGTGTGCTCTTCCGCCTGTCGTTCTTGTTCCCGACTAACTCTCCCGTTCCCCCTCCCATTGCTTCCTGTACCTCCCTCTCCTTCCTTTTGTTGTTGCTTCTGTAGGTAAGATCCACGCGAGACTGCGCCTGAGAGTCCGGTGAAGATTGTGCGTGCATTTGTTTGTGCAGGTGGTTGGCACCCCCCGCGGCCGCCGTCAACGAGCCCCACTGCCAGGGCATGTACACAGCCTCATGGTGCGTGGGTTGTGTTGTGTGTGATTTATGTGATGTGTGTGTGTTTGCTGCCTCGAATATGCGCGACTGTCGTGTACTTTGTGTACTTTCCCATCCTCCTCTTCCTCCCTCCTCCTCCTTCCTCCTCCTTCCTCTCCTCATTCTCACGCCCTCACGTCGTTTCCTCTCGTAGAACATGCAGGATTCGTATGCCTACGGTGTGTTGAGGCAGTTGATGCAGGATCCCGAGGTGCACGCCCGCGTGCAGCGCGCTGTTAAGGCGCTTGGCTCGTCCGCGTAGTCGCCATGTTGTGATGTGTCGTGTCAACTCGTGCACCAGTTGAACGAATGGCTGAATGTCTGTCGCTTCCTTTGTCGCATTCCTCTTCTTGCTCTCTTCTCTTCTTCTCTTCTCTTCTCTTCTCTTCTCTTCTCTTCTCTTCTCTTCTTCCCTTCCTTCACTCTCCCTCTCGCCTGCTTGCTGGCTTGCTTATGGCACGCCCTTCTTGTGCTTGCCTGTTGTTTTCATTGTTTGGCGCTGTGTACGGCTGAACACGTTCTTGGTGTGTTTGGTTGATGTGTGCTGCTGCTGCTGTGTGTGGTTTGGTTCTGGCTTGCAACTGGAGGGTGTTGTTTGATGTGCAGAGGGGTTGGCTGTTGTTTGGTTGGCTTGGCTTCCTGTTGCGTGTGGGCACTGCTGTGTGTGTGGATGTGTGTGTGTGTTGATGTGTGTTGGACTGGGGCGTTGTTTGTGGGTTGTGTGGCGGACCTGTTCTTTCCTCAGTAAATGGCTCGATGAAGATGATGAGACCCGCTTGACGGTGGTGATGGTGGAGCGGCGGTGATGTTTGTGGTGTTGGTGTGGCTACAGACATTGGTGTGTTGTGCCAACCAGGCAAGACCAAAGAAGCGAGGAGGGCGCGGCTGTTGTTCCTTTCGGCGACAAAGAGCGTCGGGTTGTTTTGCTGGCTGGCTGGAGGCTCTTCATCCTGTTTGTTTGTTGTGTTCCTGTCGACATGAGATTGTTGACGAACATCTTCCACGGAAGCGCTGCTGTGCGGATAACCTCTGCAAGGTTTTGCGAATCGTCCAATGGCCGAGTCGCAAAACAACAACACACAAAACAAAGGAAACAAACAAAGCAGCGCGTTGAGTTGTTGTCCTCCATTTTGTCGTCGTCTTCTTCCAACCACTTACGAACACGTCACAACAAGCCACAAGGAGAAAGACGACGCGCCGTCGCCATGTCCGGCGGAGAGAAGAGAGCAAGGGAGGAGGTGGAGGCGTTGCTGGCGCAGACGAAGGTGAAGGATGGGGTGAAGAACAAGATCAGGGCCATCGCCAACAACACGTGTCCGGGGGGAATAGAGTGAGTGCAAAAGCAACCAAAACGACGTGTTGCAACATGCATGCATGTGTTGGACACTAGGCCACAAGGACACTTCTTGTGGTTGTACTCGTGCTTATTCTCCCCCTCCCTCTCTGCTTGGCTTGTCCTTGTGTTGCAATGGGTGTGGTGTGGCTTGCTGTTGGGTGTTCACGTGTGCGTGTCCTGTCCCCTCGCACCGCCTGGACACATCAACAGAGAGAGAGTGTGTGTGTGTGTGTTTGTGGCAGGTTGTGACTGACACCCTCATGTTTTTGCTGTCTCGATCCTCAGTCTTCTTGCTCATTTCATGACACACACCATTTGAAATTACAGCTTGGGTGGTTATGGCCTCGGCGACATTGGGGCGCGTGCGGTGGCCGAGGCGCTCAAGGACAACACCTGCCTCGAAACGCTCGAGTGCGTGGTGATGATGAATCTGCATCGTGTGATATGCATGGTTGATTGGGGTGGCGGTGTTGCACGTTGCATCCCTTTCTCCTCCCCTGCTTGCGCATGTTTGGACGTGTGTTCACCTTCGCTCCCTGCGGTTCTTGTGTGCCTGCACAGCCTGGCAGTCAATTCCATCGGCGATGAGGGCGCTGTGGCGTTGGCGGAGATGTTGAAGCACAACACGACCCTCAAAATACTCAAGTGAGTGTGTACACGCACACATGCACATGTATGCTGCGTCACTGCCGTTGCACCTAACCACGTGCACATGTGTGGTCGATGACTGTGTTGCCACCCACAACAATCATCATCACGCACGCACTCACTCTTCCTCATCCATGTGGCATCATCGCCCTATGTGGCATCATACCTCTTGACAGCCTGAACAACAATTCCATCGGCGATGAGGGCGCCGTGGCGTTGGCGGAGATGCTGAAGCACAATATGACCATGACATGGCTCCGGTGAGTGTGTACACGCACACATGCACATGTATGCTGCGTCACTGCTGCTGCACCTTATCACGTGCACATGTGCACATGTGTGGATTGATGACTGTGTTGCCACCCACAGCAATCATCACTCACTCTTCCTCACCCATGTGGCATCATCGCCCTGTGTGGCATCCACCATACCGTCTTGACAGCCTGGAACGCAATTCCATCGGCGATGAGGGCGCCGTGGCGTTGGCGGAGATGCTGGAGCACAACACGACCATGACATTGCTCGCGTGAGTGTGTACACGCACACACACACATGTATGCTGCGTCACTGCCGTTGCACCTTTATCACGTGCACATGTGTGGTTGATGACTGTGTTGACACCTACAACAATCATCATCACTCACTCACTCACTCTTTCTCATCCATGTGGCAACATCGCCCTGCGTGGCATCATACCGTCTTGGCAGCCTGAGTGAGAACTCCATCGGCCCTGAGGGCGCCGTGGCGTTGGCGGAGATGCTGAAGCACAACACGACCCTCACAGCACTCGAGTGAGTGGAAGCTCCTCTTTGAAATGTGTGTCTTTAGGCGCTTCTTCTGCAATACCCATGTGCAGATGGAGGCACTGCAAGCCACGCATGATGTCTGTGCGACTTGCTTGTTTGACCAACAAATGCTTCCATCCTTCATATGTGCCACAAGTGCTGCCACATCCTGTGCAATTTGCATTTGCCCCCTTTGCTTCCGCCATTGTGACTTCAATGTCGTAGGACCTGATGTGCGAGCGAGTCCGCGTGCACGTGGTCCATCTGCAACCCACTTTCATCCGTGACACTGACACGTGTTGCTTGCCCACCCGTTCCCCTGCTCTTCCAACATGCATTTCTTGCCACTTGCAGCTTGGATAACAACTCCATCACCCCGGTTGGCGGTGCGGCGCTGGGTGCCGCACTGGACCAGAACCGCACGCTGGAAGAACTCTGGTTTGTCGATTGCGTTGCGCCTGCCTCATGAACGCCTGTGTCCTGTTGTGGATTTGTGTGACCAATCGCCACTCTTTTGAGTGCACGCCACACTGTGTGTTCCTCTCTGCTTGCTTGCATTTCTCCACAACCCTAACCACCAACCCTCCTGACTCACGCACCGCACTTGCTGTTTGTTCCCAACCACACGCTACCACCACGTGTCCTCGTTCAGCATCGAGAAGAACTCCACCGCCACCGCCCGCGCCTTTGGTGCCGCGCTGCCCGTCGACCGAGAACTCAGCACAGACTGGTCAGTCAACGCGTGCTTCCACTCTAGTCATTTGCTCCCTGCCATCTCTCGACCCTTCTCCTCACGCACACATGCTGCGTGGTACTTGCGTGCACATTTCACGTGGGATCACAGGTATGATGACGATGGGGGCCAGGCCGCCTTTAACGAAGCACGCGAGGAGCAGAAGCGGCAGCATGAGCAACTGTTTGCCGCCTGCAGGGATGGCGACACTCCAGCTGTCACGTCCCTCATCGAACAGGACAATGCAGATGTCAACCAACAGGACAAGCAGGTGTGTTCATTATGTGTGTGTGTGTGCTGTGCTTGTATGTGAACGGCGCTCGCTCATGGTTGCACCGGCCGTGCGTTCGTTTCCAACAGATCCTCACCACACGTGCCATGCCCCTTGCTGCCCCCACCCATCCACAGGGCGACACGCCACTGCACGTTGCCTGCAGGCACAACCAGCCCGCCGTCGTGGAGCTGCTCATGAAGAAAGATGCAGACACTGCCGTCAAGAACAAGAAGGTGTGCTTCGCGTCGTGTGGCTGTTTCTGAAGACGTGACACAACTGTTTCTTTGCTTTGTGCTGTGTCCTCCCCCTCTCCCTGCTTCCCTCCTTCCTCAACTCATGCGTTTTACCTTTGCAACACACGCAGGGAGAGAGGCCCTATGATGTGGCACAGGCCAGCGGTCATACTGCCATCACCAGCATCCAAGGGCTGAAGCCAGGCGGCAAGCCTTTGGAGCAACCACAACAGCAACAGCAGCCAAAACAAGAGCCACCTGCGCCCACTCCTGCCGCCGGACCGAAGCAAGAAGAACAAACAGCGCAAGACGTGAGTGATTTGACAAGTGCTTGCCAGCAACGCACAAGCAAATGCATCACGTCACCCATGCCATTCCTTCATCACGCTCTCCGTGGTCTCGTATCAAGCATAATCATGTTGTCTCACACAACCATCACCAGCACCACCATCAGCAGCAGCCCGAGCAGGCGCGCAGGAAGCGTCTCCAGCAGCGCATGCGGGAGGTCATAGCACGCTTCAACGCGACCATGGCGGGCAGGGCCAAACTCATCTTCATTGGTCAGGGGCGCGCCGGGAAGACCAGCACGTTCCACTCGCTCATGGGTCACATGTTCAACAAGCATGAGCACTCCACCCTTGGCGCCGCCTCAACCGACCTCGCCGTCATTGTCGAATCAATGGACGTTCACGACTGGCAGGTGTGTACCCTTGTCTGGTGCGAGCATGTGATGTGTGCGACGCATGGGTGTGAAGAGAGGTGGTGGTTGACACGATCATCCCCTCGCACAAGCGTTCACTCACACACACACACACACACACACACACACACACACACACACACACACACACACACACACACACAACCTTTGCAGGAGCTGGATGCGGAAATCTCGGAGCTGATGCGCAGTCTCTGCGGAACGGCGCTGGCGCAGGAATCGGGCGTGGATTGGGAGATGAAGCAGGCGATGATGAAGGCGAAGGCCGACTTGGAGAGCCGCGTTGCCCAGCACCAACAGCAACAGCGGCAGCAGGAAGCCGAGAAGGCAGAGAAAGCAACGGCTGCCAAGCAGAAGCAGAAGCAGTTACAGAATGCAAAGGAGACGCGGCCACGTCCATCCTCCCGCACGTCGCCAGCGACTGTCCCCAAACCCACCAAGGCATCTCATGACTCAGCATCTGCATCCAAGAAGCAGGCCACCCTGAACCCTTCGAGCCAATGTGATGCTGCTGCCCGCAATCACAACAACACCGCCACCGCCACGACCGGCATGTCTGCTGAGGACATGGAGAAAGCGATCAAGGAGTTCAACGTGGACGCCGTCATGGGCGAGGGCAAAGCACGGGTCACGTTCAAGATCTTTGACCTGGGTGGCCAGTCCACCTTCTACATCTTTCACCCTTTCTTCCTCACAGAGTGAGTTCAAGTTATGTGCGTGCATGCGTGTGTGTCTGTGTGTTTGAGTGTGTGTGTGTGTGTGTGCGTGTGTGTATGTGTCTGTGTGTGCGTGAGTACGGCTGCGTGCAGTCCCTCCACCACCTCTCCTCCATTCACCTCTCCCTTCATCACCGCACACCCACACCAGGTACGCGGTGTACCTGCTGGTGTTCTCCATGGAGGACCTGCTTTACCAAGACAAGAGCAAGCGGGCTGAATCGTGGGAGTTTATGGAGCACTGGCTCTCCTCCCTCCACCTCCACGCCAAGGGTGCACCCGTCCTCATCGTCGGCACCTTCGCTGATGTGGTCAGCAAGCGTAAGCAGCACGAGAACATATCCCGTGACATCCACAGTCGCCTGCGCCACAACCCGGCCTTCCCTTCCGTCATCCACAACGACAAGCATGGTCTGTGGTTCTGGCCCGTCGACAACACCAAGTCTATCAACGACACCATGATCCAGGACCTGCGCCAGACCATCTCCTCCACAGCACTGGCGCAGGAGTACGTGAGTCAGGAGGTGGCTGTGCCATACCTCCACCTCTACGACAAGCTCAACGCCATCGCCCGCGACGAGCAACGGCCGCTGCTCACGTTTGATGAGGTGGTGGCGATTGCGCGCACATGTGGGCTGCGCACACGTGAGGAGACGAGGGCCTGCCTCCAGTTCCTGCACCTGTACTCCATGGTGCTGTACTATGACACCGTGCCAGGCATGGAGGACTATGTGATCCTGAGTCCGCAGTGGGCGGTGGACATGATGACGCGCGTCATCCGAAACTTTGATCTGCATCACGACGTGCGTGATGGTGAGGCGAGGGCCGTTGGTGCGCAGCTGTGGGACGACCTGGTTGACCGCGGCATCCTGCACCGTCGCCTGCTGGATGTGCTGTGGAAGGACTTGGAAGGTGGCACGATTGAGCCCTTCCTCCAACTCATGATGGAGTACGGGTTGTGTGTCGACTACACGGCACCAATGGTGCGGCTGTTCGGCCCTCAACAGCAACAACAACACCACCAACAACACCAACAGTACCTCGTCCCAGCCATCCTGCCGATGACGCTGGAGGATGAACAGGCGTCGTCGTCGGTGACTCTGAGCACGGCAGCAGCACAGCAGGCCAATCCATACGCTGGATATGAGGAGAAGACAGCCTACGTCGCCTTCAGCCTGAGGGAGTTCAAGAGGGGTGTAAGCGCCAAGATTGCAGACACGCAGCAAGCCTCCTTCCTGCCAGAGGGCCTGTTCCCGATGGTTCTGGCACGCGTGATGGCACACATGCAGCATGGTGCAACGGAACCGCCCATGTTGAGCCGGACAGACGCCGTAATCTTCATGGACGTGGCTGAGATCGAATTACAGCTCGTGCCGGCTGTTGGCGGCATCAAGATCAAGGTCATGACTGCACGTCCTCGCACGCTGCTGCACATGCTGTACGACACCATCACAACAGCTGTCACGCAGCGCTACCCCGAGCTCAAGGCCACGTTGCTGCTGCCATTTAATGACACGAGACTGCTGTTCTTCGAGGATGTGCACACCCACCACACGAACAAGAAACCGCTTCGCGTTGGCCGCTCACAGCTGCTGTCACCAGGGGATCTGGTCGCCAAATATGGTCCACTCTTGCCAGTTATGGGTCAGCAGGACAAATACGATGCCTTCATCAGCTACAGGTGGGACATGTGTGTGTGTGCGTGTGTATGTGTGTGTGTGTGTGTGCATGAATGTATGGCGCGAACTGGGTGTCTTTCCTTCCCTCTCTCTTCCTTTCTTATTTCGACACTGACCACCACGTCACAGGCAACGCGGCAACCGGGGTTTGGTGATGACATTGTACCCAAAGTTGGAGCAGCACGGACTGGTAACCTTTGTGGACGCCAACAACTTGGAGACAGGCGTCAACTTCAAGCACGCGTGCATGACAGCCCTGCACAACAGTACTGTCGCCTGTCCCGTCGTTTCCGTGGGTGCCATCCATCAGATGCGCTCGCTCGGCCACACTGACACGTGCGATAACGTCTTGTTGGAGTGGATGGCCATGCTGGAGCTGCAGCAGCTTGCTCGCCAGCATCCAGACAAGGTCCACCTCCGCCGCATCGTTCCGCTCTTCCTCGGCAGTGGCTGGCACGACAGCAGTCACCATGTTATGAGCAGGGCAGAGGTGAGCGAGTACGACTCGTTTGACCGCCTGAAGCGGCTGGCAACGAAGTTGCCGGACGTTGTGAGCAAGAACACGACGTCAGCGCTGGATCAGTACTTTTCACAGGTGCTGCGATTGCAGCCACCTCAGCAACACAAGAGCGTGCGGGAGGCGGTGTTGTCGCTGTTTGACATTGACGCCGTGGTTGCGATGGATGCCGGTGTGGACCGCACGTCGCAGCTGCGCGACATTGCGGAGAAGATTCGCCAGGTCGTCGTCTCTGCCAGGAGCGAGGAGCAAGCAGCTCAGGGGCCAGCAGCTGCACGTCGTTCCACGCAGGTATAGTTTTGTGGCTGTGTGTTCTTGAGTGGTTGTGTGTGTGTGTGTGTGTGTGTGCGTGTGTGTATGCAGGCGCACTCCTTTCTCTCTTCCGCTTGGCACGCGTGCTGTGTCTCACTCAGCCCCTCTAACTTGTCTGCCGTGCAGTCATCTTCCTCGACCTCCACCGCTACAACTCCTGTTACACCACCACCTACCACCCCATCGCCCTCTTCCACCTCGTCGCCGTTTGAGCCCGAGTTACTTGAATGGCTCAAACGCCACTCGCTGCTGCCGCACGTCGAGTCGGCACTGGTGGAGCACGGCATCGACTCCCTGGAGGTGCTGGTCGTGTCCATACAAGAGGGTGACCTGACCAAGGAGGTACTCAGGGAAGCCGGTGTGAAAATTGGGCCGGCAATCAAGCTGATTCGGGAGGCAAAGAAGTGTGACGTGGACAGTTCTTCATAGTGCGACGCCTTATCGGCCCTGTTACCTCTCCTGTTTGTCGTTGTTGTTCTGCGCTGAGTTATTTCTGTTCTCTTTCGTCCTGACGTTCTTCGCCTTTTCATCAATTCCATACGCCCGACTGTCGTAGCTTCTGCCTCCTGTTTCTCCTCACCTCACTCCTTGCCGACGTGGCGCAAAGATGCGCTTTGCCCTTCTACTTGTACACTGTTCTGCACCTTCCGTGCTTTCGTTGCCCCTCCTGTGTCATGCCGCCACTTGTTGCTTCACCTTTGTTCCACAATACATCTTCCTCCGTTTCAAAACACACATGCACCACAGCCTGCTTGCCATCACATTCCACGTCAGCCATCCACACACCACCACACACTCACAACTGTGAACGCGTCAACTGACTTTGATGTGAATGTGTACATGAACATGACATGTCAACACAGCAAATGCATAACCCTTCCGCCACCCAACATGATAACCCCCCCCCCCCAGCCACCTGATCACACACGCTCAGGCCTCCTTCCACTGTCCTTAGAAGCGGTTCACGAGCGAGACATCAGGCCACCGCCAATGGTAGTTTGTTGAGTAGCAGTTGCGCAGCACAACGCAGCCAATGTCTGACAGCCCGTGCATGTTGTCAAAGGCGCAACTCTGCAGAACAAGCCGCTGAATGCCTTGGAAGCAATCAAATTCCAAGATGGCACACTTGTGAAGGTGGCAATTGAATACTTCTCGACAGCCTGTGATTGACAAGCTGCCAGGACCATCCGACACAACATTGGAGGGGGCAATAATGGGCACATGCTGAGCAGGAGCGGCCCTCACAGTCAATTCGTCAAGCAAAAGCGTGCCAATGGAGGTGAAGCCAACACGCCCACAACAACTGTGTAGCGAGGCCCTGTGGCAGCGCGCAATGTCTTGATCGAGCGTGCAGGACGTGAGGCGAAGGTATTGTCGGTCAGAAAGCAGGTGGATGCCGTGCATTGGGTACTGGAATCGCCCGTGGAGAGTCAACGACTGCACCGCCGGCCCAATCCACTCGCAGTGAAGCTCGCCTTTGACAAGGCCATGCAGCTCTTTCACACAGGGCGGCACCGGCCCATCCACGTTGACGCCATCGACACAAACGTGCACGTGGTCAGGGATACCATTCAGGGCACTGACATTCCTCACACAGTCCTTGAGCACGAGCTTGTCGGTGCGCCGGCCGAGGTCCACAAGAAACTCGCGTGACAACACTCTTCGAAACAACTTGAGTGCCAGTACATTCGCGTGCACAAAGTCGGGCAGCTGCGGCATCGTGAAGGGTGTTTCATCGGCAATCACAATTCTGTCAACGCGAGTGGGGCAAGTGAACGTCTTCACTTTGGATCGCAGTCGCAACTCAATGTGGGTAGCGTTGGGCAAATGCAACAGTCTTGGCACTTCCAGCATGTGTGAGAGCGTAATACGGGTGCCATCGAGTTTGTCATTCTGCAACTGCACCTGACGGAGGCTGAGGTGTTGTGCTGCGGTCACCACCGCATCATCGCCGCTCAGGTGTGCGCCAACAATGTCGAGCTTTTCCACCCCGAGCAGCGGCGACAGGTCCAACGAGCGGCCGTACAAGCGAGCAAGCCTGATTTCCGGAATGCCCGCGTTCAACATGCCCAAGTCGGAGATGGAGGTGCTGTCGCTCAGTTCAAACCGCTGCATGTGTTGAATATCGCCACGAAGGGTCCGCTGATTTCGAGCACACCACGTGACACGTTTCACGTCATGGATTGTAACGTGGCCAATCTCAGTGGATTGGATGTCAAGGAAATCGATGTGACACGCGCTGAGCGACTCCAACGGACTTTGAATGACCAGGTTCACGTCAACGCCGCGTGAGTTGGCGAGCAGCGACGTGCGGAGCTCATGCCACCGATCAGCATCACCCTGGCACATGAATTCAGCCGTGAGCGAAAACAGTGCTGGGGCGAACGCAGCGGTGACTGTGACCCTGTCACCAACGTGCTGTTGCTGCTTCTGAGAGTGCTGTGGTTGGGCGCTTCGGGTGCTTGTCCCTCCTGCATCTGTGGACGTGCTGGTGCCTCCTTCTTGCTTGCGTGCATCTGCACCGTGCACACTGCTGTCGTGCTCACTGGCGTCGAGTGCCTGATTCACGTCTGCGGCCCACGACTCGACGTCTTCAAGGGACGTGTACGTCACGTGTCCAGAGCGTGCGAACCGATGCCAGAAGCTCTGCGTCTGTGGAGGAGACTGGAGCCTGGAGCGGAGAAAGGTGCACGTGCTTTTCCACGCCACACCCAGCCAACAATACGCGAGGAAGCGGTTCTCCAACCACACGACGACATGCGCAGTGTCGTCTTCTTGTAAAGGGAGCGCGGTGGTTTGCATGGCCATCGCGAGGGCCATCATTGCCGAGGTGGTCGCTGCGTGGGCGGGCACAAGAAGGTCCCGTTGAAACACGTCAACCCAGTGCTCAGTCGTTCGGCTCTGGCGATTCCACACGTTTGTGCTCTTTGTGAACACGGTGGACAGGCACCACTTGGGCATGGCCCACGGCAGGTCATGGTACAGCTCGCGGCAAGTCAACATGAGGTTGAAGTACGCGCGCGCCACGTCCCGAGGAGGGCACTCCTGGGGCTTGCTGTCCAGCTGTCCCCCGAACACCCCGGTGCCCTTGTTCTTTGCTGCCTGCTCTGCTTCCAACACCAACGTCTCCGCCACCAGCGCCCACGCTGCGCCGTCGTTCATGGTGTCTTTCTTGCTTGCAAGTTCGGAAAAGTTGTCATATCACCTTTGAAATTTCGCCCGACGTTATCGTTGAGGGATGGTGGCTGGTTGTGCTGACTGCGGTGACAAAGGTGAGAGAGCAAGCAAGCAAGCAAGCAAGGAGGGACAACAACATGAGTGGTGCAGTGTTCGTCGTGCTATTGCAACATTGCAACTCTAGTGGTAGCCTTGCACTCGTAGCTGTAGCGTTGATGGTGCAACTCACACCACTCGTTTTCGTCTCCCCCTCACCCCTGTTGCTGCCGCAGACACCTCGTGGGTGTCGCTGAATTTGGGCGTGTTTGTGTGCGCACGCTGCTGTAACGTGCACCGTTCTCTTGGACGGGCAGTGTCCCACGTTGCGCCAGCTGCTCAAGTCACATCGCGGCTCGAAACGAAGCAGGTCGGTGGGCTCTGCTTGGTGTTCTTGTTGTTTCTGCAGTGCGCCTACAAAGAGCACACAAATGCTCCACTGTGTACCCACACACACACGCGCGCGCACACACACACACACACACACACACGCACACACGCACTCTCCGTCACACGTGCTGGCAGCTGTTTGAGTATTTGCAGAATGAACACACGAATGATGTGTGGGAAGCTACGCTTTCCTCTCATCCAAGCTTTGTGAAACCAAGCATCGACTCCGACATGAAGTGAGGCAGCCGACATGGTGTCTGCGTCACGGTTGGCTTTCGGTCCACACACACACAGACTCGCTCTCTCTCTCTCTCTCTCTCTCTCTCTCTCTCTCTCTCCACCCACACACACACACAAAACCACACACACACACACACACACACACACACACACACACACACACACACACACACACACACACACACACACACACACACACACACACACTCACTCACTCACATAATCCCCCCACACAACACACACTCTCTCACTCTCACTCTCCATGCAGACATTGGGCCGGACGACGGGTATGCCGGCGTTGTGTTCGTCAAGGGCAGCTGCTCCCGTCTCGATGTCATTCGTCTCGCACGCGACATGAAGCGCGTACGTCGGGAGTGAAGTTGAGAGAGAAAGGGGGGGGAGGACACTGTTTGCTTGTTTGCTTCCATGCACATGCACCTGCTGCTTGGGCTGCTTGCCTCTTTGCTTTTGGCGGTGACACGAAGTGCCCCATCACATCTGCCCTGCCCCATCGCATCACGCATACCTTTCTCACACCACAAACACAAACACCACCACCACCACCACCACAGGGCATCCATCTTGCCAAGGACCACAAGCGGTGCAAAGTGTACCGCACCCGCGAGTTCAAGATCACACCGACCAAAGCCCGCTCCCCCTTCAACATTGACGGTGACCCGCACGACCACGGTCCTGTGCACGTGCGCGTGCTGCACCAGGCCCTCAACATGTTCACCCTGCCGGAGCGTGGCGAGACGCTGGCAGAGCACGTCGCACACACGGGCATGGCACTGCCTGTCGTGATGGCTGGTGTGAAGGTGAACCAGCTCAACTCGAAGCAGGGACGCAAGTCTGCACCAGACCACGAGGCCAAGGGCGTCTCCGCGCTCGCCACCGCCATGTTTGAGACCGGTCACGACGGAGCAGGCAGCAAGTAGCCGCACACGCGTCTGTGTGTGTGTGTGTCTGTGTCTGTGTCTGTGTGTGTGTGTGTGTGTGTGTGTGTGTGTGGTTGTACTGTGTCTCTGTGTGTGTGTCTGTGTTGTACTCTGTATTTGCTGTGTGGTCATCACATTTTGTCATTACCTTACGTCCCATATTGCGACTTCTCCGTTGTTGTCCTTTCCTGACCTACGTTAGCGCTGCACTGTCCCCAGTGCTCCCATGCTTGTCCCTCTTGGTTTTCTTCGTCGCCTGAGTTCCTTTCGCTTTTTCGTGCTTGTGTTCTGGTGCTTGCTTCATAACCGCTGTTACATTCAGTTTGTTGGTCTTGACTCGTTTGTACACGTCTCATCTCAACACAAACACTGCAGTGCGCCCGAGAGAGCGACAGCGACAGAGAGACACAGACTGAGACAGACAGACAGACAGAGACTGACGGACAGATAGAGACTGACAGAGAGATAGAGACTGACAGAGAGATAGAGACAGACAGGGGGATAGGGAGTGTCTGTCTGTCTGTCTGTCTATCTGTCTGCGTGTGTGCCTGTCTGTCTGTCTGTCTGTCTATCTGTCTGTCTGTCTGTCTGTCTGTCTGTCTGTCTGTCAGTCTGTCTGCGTGTGTGCCTGTTTTTTGTCTGCCTCTATGTGTGCGCTGTTGCTGGTGCTTGTAGGTTTGTTAAAGCATCAAACAGCTGCTTGTGCGCCGCAATCTTGTGTGTCCTGCACAGGTAAACAAAGGCATGGAGTGAGCAGGAACAGCATACGTGTATGATGTGGCCTGGAACAGCCTCAGGGATGTGATTGGCGACACAACACAACACAACACAACACAACAAACAAACAGCACCACCACCACAGCACCACCTCACCCCTTGAAGTCGAGGTCGACGATGACAAGTTTCGCCAACACGGCGCCGTCTGCAACGCGATACGACCCGGCCATCGCCCCCGCACGTGCACATGCACGGCTTTCGGTGTCGTGTGTCGGCTCGAGAGGCGAGCAGAAGGAAACCAACACGCTGCAGTCCTTAAACGCTGCAGCTCTCAAGTGATCGAGCATCAACCACGCTGGTGACACCATCGCTTCCTCACCATCACCATCATCATCATGTTGCTGTTGTTTCGCGACCTTGGTCACCTGCTCCCCATCATCATCGGATAGTTCATGTGCACGCTTACCGCCGTCAACACTCGCTTTCGCCCCTTCCTCCTCCTCCTTCTTCATTCCTTCTCTTCCACGATCACCGTCACCACCACCACCACTACTGCTCGCGAGCGTGTGTTCCCGCCATGTGTTGACATCGTCTTGAGTGATGACACCACGTGTCGCCGTTCGCGCCGCATCCGCAGCAGCAACAGCAGCAAACGACCGGTCCACAGGGCACCAAGACAACGACGATGTTGATGCTGATGTTGTTGACGATGTTGATGTTGGTGTTGATGTTGATGATGGGCGAAGACGGGGAGGTGATTTGGAGGACGCCAAAGAACGTGTCACCGCTGGCTGCGCATGGTGTGCCCCGTGTTGGGTCCTGAGCCACGACAGCACACCAGAGGTCGACAGCACCTCTTGTAAGAGCGGTGCCAGCCCGGCGGCGAGGCAGTGGACGGAAGCTGCTTCGGTCATCGCACCACGACCACCACGACCGCCACCATCACCACCACCATCATCATCAACACCACCACAATCATCATCATCACCATCATCATCATCATCACCATCCTGTTGTTGTTGTGGTGGCGACGATGCTGACACGGCGCGGTGCAGAACAGGCGTGGAGGCGGTGGCGTGTGCAGTGAGGAGACGGAGGTTGTTCTGGGGTGTCTGCAGCAGTTGTAGGATGGCTTCACGCTGTAACTGTGCATCCTGTTCAGGACATGAACGCAAACGCACAGGGTTGTCAAGCGTAATATGGTCAGAAACACAACGAACGTTTTGAAGCTACACACACTCACGTACACACACACACACTCTCTCTCTCTCTCGCTCTCTCACGAACACACACAGTCACTCACACATTCACTCACTCACTCACGTTCCCCCCCCCCCACACACACACGCACACTGCGTGCGTTGCTGAACAGGCGGATTGGGCAGTATTTGGAGACAGAGGTCCATTTGCCGTTGGCAAGCTTGAGGTGCTGGTGACAACAGAAGCGGCACCAGCGCTGCTCGCTCCGGGCGTGGCACGTGGTGTCGACGCGAGGTGGAAGTCGAAACACGTCGTCGCAGCTCTTCGGCTTCAGCTCAATGGCAAAGTATGCGTGGTGACACGCAGGAACACGCGTTGCCAGCAGCCAATCGAGCGCCGCCTGCCCGCCTTTGCCAAGAACGTCAGTCCCAGATTCCCAGAGCCGAAACGCGCACGCGGGACACGACCCCATATCTGGCATCAAAATTGCGCCCGCACCGCACAGCGCTCGCGTATCAACATTAACAAAGCCTTGGCCTACAGGTACATCCTGCTCCAACAGCTGCAGCCCATCCAAAAAGGTCTGGGGCAGATCCAAATGCACCTGTACAAACACACACGCGTTTGCATTCATGCTGGTGAGGCACACCATACATGCTTTCTCAGGACATGATTGTCAAAGACACAACAAACAAGCGACCCAGGCATTCGACGAAAGAGCACACACACACACACACACACCACACACACCACACGCACACATGCGCACACATGCGCACACACGACACTCGCACACACACACATGCGCACACACGACACTCACACACGCACTCACGCAATCAGTTGTACCTGTGGACACGCCCAGGGCGAGGGAACGAGGCGGGAGAGTGTTTCATGGAACCTTTGCTGCACATGGCGTTCATCCAAACATTGTGTCTGATCTCCTTCCTTCTCCAGACGCCGCAATCGCAGGGCGCACAGCCGAAGAGCAGCGAGCTCGGGTTCAGCTCCAGCATACCTCAGCACGACGTTTGCACCGCCCACACCACGCACGCGCCACGGCCCACTGGGCAGCCGTGATGGACACATGTTCGCCTTTGCACACGCTTGTTGTCACTGCAGCAGCTACACGCAGGTCCAGTCATCAGCGTTGCGAAGTTGCTGAAATCTATGTGTATAGTAAACAATTCTCTACAAACACCCCCCAAACGAAGCAACGACGATGAGCACAGCGGAGGAAGATGGTGCGCCAACCGTGTCAGATGAGATGAGGGAACTTCGACAGGAGAAGCTCTCATCGGCACTTGGCAAAGTGAAAGCAGCAGGTAAGGCGAGACCGAGAGAGTGTGCGTGTGTGCGTGTGTGCGTGTGTGCGTGTGTGTGTGTGTGTGTGTTTGCATGCTTGCTTGCATGTTTGTATTTGCATGCTTGCTTGCTTGCATGTTTGTATTTACATGCTTGTGTCTTCGCATACATGCGTGTTTGTGCCTGCATGCTTGCGTGTCCAATTGATTACACCTCACGCTGGCTGGACTCTGTGCTGTACTGGGTTAGCCAAAGTGAAGCGAGCGCGTGCCCTGTCTCAAGAAAATGCCGCGCCATCTTCACGATGGGCAGGAGATGTCGTGCTCAAGCGATGGGAGATGCCACTGCTGTGCAAAGACTTGCAGGACGCAAACCTCCACATCCCAGAGCTGAGGTTTGTGTCCTGCTTGAGCTACCTCACAGCCTTGCCGACATGAGCGACCAGCTGTACGATGCGTCCCTCGCACCGCTCCTTCCACTGCGAGACGCGTTTTGTTCCGTGATCTCTCATACAGGGACTGATGCTGTTGTTGTATCTATTGTCTTGCCTTGCAGGTTGGACGGCAATGAGCTCACCCTCCAACAAACACAGGAGCTTGCGCAAGCACTCGCGTCAAACACCACGTTGCGAGTGTTAAGGTACGCGCTCTTTTGCTGTCACGTGATGCAAAGGCATCTGCATACACGACGCTGCTTACACGTAACACACACACACACACACACACGTAACACACACACACACACACGTAACACACACACACACACACACACGTAACACACACATACACACACGTAACACACACATACACACAAATATTCGTTTCTTGCACATTCGTGTGTCTCCCCTGCCACCAACCCGTGCGCTCACGCACACGTGCTCGCACTGATACACTCGTGTTGATGACGTCATTGTGCAATCTTCGCTACAGTCTGGCTGGCTGCGGTCTCGGGGACGAGCACATGCAAGCGCTCTCGCAGGCGTTGGCGAGCACAACAGTCAAGCAGCTCAGGTATAGCAGACACACTTCAAACGACTCCCGCATCGCCTTTGCTGCACTGCGGTGGCTGTCTCTCTTTTCCTCGCCATTACCTCACCTCGTGCACCCGCCCTCCGCTCATTGTTTGGTGTGCTTGCGTGCCATTCTTTTCTCCTCGTGTCACCCTCTGCATCAGCGTATGGGGGAACGCCATCGGGGACGAGGGTGCGAGCGCATTGGCGGCAGCGCTGCCCAGTTGTCAGTCTCTGCAGTCTCTCGAGTACGTCACCTCCTTGTTGGAGAACCGTGGTTGCATGTGTGTCCCTGTGTCGGTATGCAGACATGTGAGTCAGTGAGTCAGCGTGCATGCGTGTACTTGTGTACACCTGTGCCTGCGTGTGTGCGTGCACCTTTATCTTCGCCTCCGAACTCACAACATACCTCCCTCCCCCCTGCCAACATGCGTGCACGTCATCACAACAGTTGCGGTCAGAACCACATTGGCGACACAGGTGCACATGCCCTCATTGTGGCGGCGCCGAAATGCAAACACCTCAAGTCCATCAAGTACGTCGAAACTTACACATGTGCCTGTTGCCGTGCAGCCATGACCACCTTGATCATCTTTCCCATTCGAACTACCGTTGTTCCACTGACACACAGACACACAGACTCACCCCCCCCCCCCAAAAAAAAAACCCCCCTCCCACTTCAACTTCAACACGCTGCTGCCACCACCACCATGACAGCGTGTCGTACAACCACTTGAGCACGAGCGCCGTGCTGGACTTTGCAAAGTGCTTCGAAGCCACTGCCACCATCACGTTTCTCGGGTACGCGCGCCTCTGCTGCGTTTGCTCACGTGGAGTGTGTGTGTGTGTGTGTGTGTGTGTGTGTGTGTGTGTGTGTGTGTGTGATTGAGGTGGAAACGCACGCACTTCTGACGTAACAAAACCACCTGCTGGTATTGCTCATCACTCCACTTGCTCCACTCATGAAAACTGCTTCAACCTCGCACCCACCACCACCACCACCATGCCATCGTCCAAAACAGCCTGCGCGGAAACGCCAAAGCGCCATCACGAGGACTTCAGCGGACGATTCGACGCGTGCAGCGCCTGTCACGGCCGCGTGTCATCGACACAGATGTGCTGCCGTACCATCGCGAGTTTGACTGGCGGCGAGCAAGCACCCTGCGCAGCTACGTGTACCGTCCACAGCACATCTTGGGGGACGAACTCAAGATTCAGGCACTCAACCTGTCCGGATGGTAGCACGGCGTGTCGTGTTTGTAATGGCTGTTGTATTCGTGTGTGTGAAGTGTGTTTCACGTTGACGCGTTGATGCGTTGGTGTGTTGATACGTGATTTGTGTTCCATTGCACGTTGGTGTGTTGACGTGTTGATGTGTTGATGTGTGCGGCTTGCATCATTTGGCACCATGGCTGTACTTTGCCCACACCGCTTCCTGCTCTTGCTGTCTCCACCCCTCATTGCTCGCTCGTTACTTTGCAACCATTCGCTTGTGTGTATCCTGTGCCCAATACAACGCGAGCACCACACGTGCTGGTCATGCTTAAGAGGAGAATACGAAGAAGGTTGACTGCTGCACTGCTGCAAAGACACCATGAAGCAACACTCGGCGGTCGTGTCGTCATAACATAACAAAAATTATGTAGTCAGCACATCATTAGGGGAAGGGAGCAACGCATGAACTATTGCATAGAGTAATGTAAACTGCTTCTACAAGAATAAAACCATGTGTGTGTGTGTGTGTGTGTGTGTGTGTGTGTGTGTGTGTGTGTGTGTGTGTGTGGTTATGCTGCCTGGGAGACGCTGGTCGTTCGCTCATCGTAGATGTTTTCGTCCGGCGTGCTAGATTCCAGGAACGTGGCTGTCAAGCGCGGAATGACACAGGGGGGGGGGAGAGAGGCGAGGTGTGAGGCACGGCGAAGTGTGGTGTTCACGTACGTATGCTCACGTATGTGTGGGTCACGCATGGAGAAGGTACAAAAGCGACATTTGGACGGCATGGGATGAAACGCAAATGGGGCAACACAAATGCACACGTACATGTTGGGCGGCGCGGGGGCGCGGGTTTGTTCTCTGGTTGAAGGATGAGTGACGTCGAGGTCAGGACAGCACAGTGTGTGAGTGGGGTGCAGGGGTGAAAATGTCACGAAGCTTAACGAGATAACACACACACACACACACACACACACACACACACACACACACACACACACACACACACACACACACAC